TAGTGTCGCCTGAATTAGACTGCTACATCATTGACTTTAAATAATCCAAATAGCCATTCCATTTATGTGAATCAAATATAGGCCTACCATTGAGTTTGGATACTGCAAGTAGACTTTCCAATAGGATACGTGAACTAGACGTACCATTAATGCAGACTTTGAATAGGTACTGCAAATATGAATTCCATTAATGTGAACAAAATATACTGTACCATTAAGTTTGGATACTGCAAATTTGCACTCAATTTCAGTCATCTAAACCTTTTCAAATTTCCATTTTTATTTTTTTTTTTTTTCTTTATCAAAGTTCGATTTACAATCTGTTTAGTTTTTTAACATTCAGCAAGTACAATACAATTATTAATAAAAAGTTTGTCTCAATACATCGATAGACCAAACTTTAAAAAAAATTCTATGAAAAGAGCTGAGGTCAAAAACATGATTTATTTTCAGTCTGTACAGCGCGGTATGCCTATCGTCCAAGAGACTTAGAGCCAGGTGATTAGGGTGGTTTTCAAGTATCTTTAGATATTTTACACTAATTTTTTTCTCTTCAACTATCGGAATTAAATAAAGTTAAAAAAAAAACTATCGGAATTCCACTGTCCTGGTGAAGTATAATATTAGGTGGCGTCCCCATCTCAATGATTGATAATTGATAATTAATTGATCTTGACACCACGGGGCTTGCAGGATGAATCTTAAAACTTTTGACTGAAATCATTGAATGATATTTATGTTTGAAATACTTGATGTTCCCTACAGTTTAATTCCATAAGTCCAAATTGGCTTCCGAATTACTTTGTATGGTCATAGTTTATTTTCAGTGGTCAATTTTGATTTAATATTCAGGAGCCAGGAAAGATTTTTTAATTTTAAATTTAGATACATTCTTTAGTTTTAGATGTGATTTTTTCATGTTAATATTTTGTTAACCATCATGCCGAGATATGTCATTGAGGAATTTGGACATTGTTTAAGGTTACAGGAGGACAAGTACCTACCTAATCTGGTAGTGAAGGTCACATGAGTAGATTTATATTTGTTCTCATTCACTTTTATTTTCCATGTTTGCAACCATTCTTCTAAGTCATCTAGTGAATTTTGAAGATTAACTGAAGCTTAACTGAAGATTAACTGGATCAGGATGGGACGCTAAAATAGCAGTATCGTCAGCAAAAGTGGCCACAGTGGTATTCGCATTTTCAGGTAGATAGGCTAAACAGCTTAACATAGTGCAGGTCCGAAAGCACTTCCTTGGGGAATGCCATTTGGAATTGGGTACAATTTTGTAATGCTATCTCCAAATTTTACTCTGAAATATTTTCGGTTAGGTATGATTTGATTGCCATATAAAATGTATGAGGAAGATTTAGTTTGAGTTTATAAAGTAGGCCAATGTGCCACACTTTCTCAAAGGCTTGGCTTACATCGATAAAGACAGCTGTGGCAATATTTTCTCCCCAATGTCTTCTTTATTTGTATCAACCAATATCTATGTCTATTAATTGTTCCTCGTTGGCCGTTATGCCAGAACTGCTAAGGGAACTTTTTACATGGAATGCCCATCCTGATAAATGAGGAAGATAAAGAATATATAGGCCTACACCACATTATCATTTCGATAGCCAATATTGAGTCTAATCAACAAGAATTGAATGATGGAAATGTCCCAGATGGTGGTTCTCAGTTCCAGATGGCACCTGTTTTTGGGACAGAAGTCGGACCCTCTCGTCCCATGCGAGTCAGATCATGAACAATAGTATTAAAAGACTTGGTTTCGGTAATTGTTATAAATAAACCTGGACAAACGTAGCTGCAAATATAATCTTTTTTTATTTTTAGTGTAATAATTATGGCAAAATTACTTGTTTCCATGACAAATATACATAACTTAAATAAATTTATATAAACTATTTTTAACACAATATATACGATGGATATATTATATTATATAGGTTAGTGATCCAAAACCTGTTTTCTATCCTTACTAATGTAAAACAATAGCAGGATAATCGATTACCTATATGAATTTATTTGGAAAAAAACGTCTGAAAAATCAATTTATAAAATAATTTTTATATTATTTTGAGAATATCTTTAAAACTAATGCATATGCATAAGAAATGAATATAACCATTCTTGTAAAACTAAAAAATGGGGTCTTTCCCCCCCTCCCTGCCGCTGAAGCAGCAGGGTCAGGGGCGGGGACTTTTGGTATTTTTATCTTCTAACTATCCCGAACACGGAACACATTCCCGCAGAAAAAAAATCCCCCTCTCCATGTCTTCTACAATACCTTTATTGACTGGACTATCTGTTGTACAAGAGAGATTGGTCATGAATTGAATATAATAACAAACATAATATTAATACATCATGGAACTATTGATCACGTTTCTTAGATGACTAACTTACCAACATATTATTATGTTTCCGTCTGATGTCAATAATTATTGTAAGTTTCATTAATTTCCTGCCTGAATAAAAAAAAATACTCATAATTTTGTTTTCATTCTAAGTGCTTTTGACAATTAAAATAAGCTTAAACTCCCCTTTTTTATTTCAAAACTAAAAAAATTTCCGTCTGCTCCCATACCCACCCGTGTTCCCCCCACAAGGATTTGGTGAAACGACGCTACTGGGGGGGGGGGCTTCATTGGAGGCGATAACTGATTTGGTGAGCCAAGGAACTCAAGAATTTCATCATGACTATTAAAATTATTTATTTTTAATTTTGATTGGGATTAAACACTGGGGCCAAATGGTTTGCAAAAACTTCAGATTTTTCAATATCATTTCTTGCCCAAGTTCCATCGGAGAGATAGGCGGTATCGAGATATTTGGGCGGTTCATCCCTCTAGTAGCTTTCCATGGAGAATAGTTTGTTGTAATATTAGGTGACAAATTACCTGTATATTCATAAAACCATTCATTTTTAAGAATTTCAGATCCTTCTTGAGTTCCTGAGCTGCTCAGTTAAATTTAGTTTTGTCTCACGGATACGGTATCTAGTCCGTTGCCAAATTCTTGTCAATCTCCTCTTCTCAGCAACTTTCCGTTTTACATGTAGTGGATAGTTGAATGAAGTAAAAGGTTTTCCTTTGTTTTGTAAATTTAGTATTCGCTTGCCAGCAGGATATTGTTGAATTATATTGTAAAATTGTCTACTGCGTCATCGATGTCATCTGGAGTTTTAAGAGGTATTTTTAGGGAAAGATCTTCATTTACTCTGTCTCGAAATATATACCAGTCAGTAAATTGATCAAACAGCTTGCGAGATTTACACACAACAGTCGAACTTAAGGTGACACTAATTGGTGAATGGTCTGACTGCAAATCTAGGCTTTTGCTTTCACATCAATATAGTTTTCACCAATTCCTTTTGTAATAAAGAAATCTAACAAACCAGGAATTTTTTGAGGATCTGTGGGCCAATATGTTGGTTCAGCTGTTGATATAAACTGGAAATTGTTATGGGTGATTGATGTCAAATCAATTATAGTTCGGCCGCTTAGAAAGTGACCTCCTCCAGCATTGGTTTAGTTGTCGACCTCTTGGGTTAGCCAGTCTTGAGCCCCACATGGGATGTTTTTAACAGTCGAACTTAAGGTGACAATTATTGGTGAATGGTCTGACGGCAAATCTAGGCTTGCTTTCACATCAATATAGTTTTTACCAATTAGGTACTTTTGTAATAAAGAGATCTAACAAATCAGGATTTTTTTTAGGATCTGGGCCAATATGTTTGTTCAGCTGTTGATATAAACTGGAAATTGTTATTGGTGATTGATGTCATATCAATAGTTGTCGACCTCTTGCGGGTTATAGCCAGTCTTGAGTCCCACATGGTATGTTTTTGTTTTGCGTTGTAGTCTCCTCCTGCTATGAACCTGGGGCCAAGTGTATTAAAACAGTTTGTAAAATATTGGCAAAAGTGAAGTTATGACGAGGTGGGCTATATATTGCGGATATAGTGAGCCGTCCAGCCCTATTTTCTATTACTAAACTCATACTGGTAGCTTGAAGATGGTTGTGTTGATATTTGGGAAATTCATAATGAGATATGAAGTTTTTAATCAAAATAACACTGCCACCATGAGCAACGTTAGCCTGGGTGGTTTGAGTGGTAAAGTGAGACATTTTAGAATTTTAAAGTAACCATAAGATCAGTAAAGTGACTTTCAGATACAAGCATGTTATCAATTGAAATGAAATTAAATGAAAATCCTTCTTTACTGAGGCGAACTTAGGACCTCATGGTCCTTTCTTACAGTTAACCTCTAACCAATTTGGTTTTGTATGATAAAAAGCTTTAACTTCTTCTCTTCTTTATAGTGACTGTGTTTATTTTCGCTCTGAAAATAATTAACTTGTTTTTACGTATTTTGAGCTCGGACTCTCTTTAAAGTCGTTACAAGTTTAATTCTTTGTTTGTTCTTTGTACTTGTTTCATAGTAGGCCTACCGCGGAAATAGTTAAATAGGACCATAAAACTTTGTTCAAACATAAATCTCCTACAAGCGACTCCAGTTAATGTCAACATCAACTGTAAACAAAGCTAAGTATAATGTACAACAAACAAAAAAGTTCCTTTGCTATGCCTTTTGAGGAAAATGTAAGTGATCCTGCCAAAACGAAAACTTACCTTTTCTTCCTCTGAATCTCAACCGAAACGATATGTTTTAGATTCAAGTGAACTGTGTAAAGGGCAAACATTTAAAATTCTATCTGAACATTGTAGGTAGATCTAATGGCAATGAAGTGGATCAATCACACGAGATGGATGATTCTACTTTATTTATTTTATTTTTTACTTCGCTTATTAGAAAAAGATAACTCGTCCCTTGTCTGTGCTGCAACAAAGGATAAGGAAGCCAGGATAGGACAGGACACTAGTAGGACAGGAAGGAAATGATGCACAAACGGTGAAACGGATCGATATGTGGCGCGGCTAGTGGTAAGTAAAGCAACTACTACAACAGTTGAATGCTGGGAACCGTCAGTTTTCTTTGTGCCGTTCGTTGGGCCCAGTCGTGCTGGCCGACTCGTTGTTCGCTCGCGTCTCTCGCGTCAGTGTCTTGTGTGGTGTGTAATTAAGATGTATACTTATGGAATCTTTTGAGTGACTTATTACCTACAGGAACCGATGGGAACGACGACCATCGGATTTGGTAGCAGACCGACTTTATTCAGCTGATGACTAGGCAAAGGCTTTCGATCCTATTTTTACCCTCTCCAAAATTATTACGCTCCATCAAATTAAAATTTTATTAGTTGCAGTTTCTATCCTACAGCCAATACTAATAGGCATAGGATTGTTTTCCTTGTGTTTCAAAATCCAAAAACTAACTTAACCCATCCGTATAAATTGGCTTGACAAGGGTATTTCCAAGAGCAAGATCTGTAGACCCTATCTTAAGCTTATGTTGGTCCTCTCTGATAACTTAGTAGTTCTCAGTAAATTAAGTAAGCCTGAGTAAATAAGTATTTTTATTCCATTATTACTTCAAAGTGCAAGGGGTATCTTGCCAGAATTTTCTTTAAATCTTCAACGGACTTCTTCTCTTTCGATTCACCCTTTCTCCTGCCTCATGTCTCAGGTCGGAGGGTCAGTTGTCTAGTTTGCCCCCGTGATCTGTCATGGCAGTTGTTGGCCCTAGTAGGCATTCAAGGCTGCAAGTGTCTATGAGTGTGATGCCAGGAGCGGGGGCGGCGGGCCACCAACAGGCCATTTTGGCTGCCGCTCAACCATATTATCATCCTCAACATGCTGCACACCAACCTTCAGCCACCCCTCAGGATGTGCAACCTGACAGACCAATTGGATATGGTGCTTTTGGAGTCGTATGGTAAGTTCAAAAAAATCTTTATCATCTCAGCTTTTAAAACCATCTAGGCCTAGGTTGCTTAGGCCTATGTTTGCTACTAAAACTAAGAAAGGCTGTGGTTTCCTAGACGCGTACAAGATGCGCTGTGTGTGCACATCTAAGACGCAGCACACTTGTCTTATGGAGTTTCGTGTAAGCGGTTTCCAAGGCTGCGTATCTAATACGCGCGCACCAATAGCTGCGTTTTTGACCGACTGCTTTTAGAGCAGTCGAATCTGAGTTACACTGCGTTTTAGACGTCTTGTGCAATGGATTCATAAGTAAATGTTGTCCAGAAGGCAAAATTCTCCAGCAACAACGAAAAATGTATTGAATTTGTCTCCTGTAATGACATATTATTGAAGTACGTTGTTCATACAATTAAAATTTGTATAGTACCATAGGTAGCCTATTACATTTCATATCATTCGTTATGTAGTGTTAATTTTCCCATAATGTTTAATTTAAATATTTAATTCCTTTATTGAATGTTCCTTTCAATTAATTTGTCCTCACATATTTTCTTATTGTTGTAATTTGCTTTTTTACAATAAGAAAATATGTGAGGACAAATTAATTGAAAGGAACATTCACCTTTCAATTAATTTGTCCTCACATATTTTCTTATTGTTGTAATTTGTAAATAAACCTTATGTTGACAAATATTCTTTACAAGTCAGCACAACACCAACTCCCAAATATAAGAGCCCCCATAATTATTTTAAGAACCCGTGAACATCTTAGTAATAAGCCCATAATTACTAGCAGAGTGCCCGTTCTTCTTACGGGGTTAGCGTGTAATTATGAAATGCTTATTGCTGTTATATTCGTAAAAGGTATTTTCATCTATTCGGTAAATCCCGAATAGTTAAATATAATAACAGTAAAAGCAAAGTTGGAGAGGGTAAATTAAGATTTATTGTTTAAGTTTTAAATTGACATGTTTGCTTTAATGATATGGTTAAAACATCCGTGAGTGCCACGTACAGTTCCTAATCATGTACTTTTCACTGCTTACGCTTCTTCGAAGGTTCTAATACCAAAGTATCCATTTCATTATCTAAATCATCGTATAACATCATAGTAGCCACTAGTAATCTCTCCCGTGAACTTATGTTACGCACCAACCGTGTGTATTGTACGCAGTCGAGGAAACCACTCACGGCGGCTGCGTTTTGGGACCTGGATGAAAGACGCTGCGCATCTATTACGCGTCTAGGAAACCACAGCCTAAGCAATGAGTTGCAAAGTTCAGGTCTTTCTTTAAGCCTCGCTCATTATCTCAGCTTATTATTTAAAATTAAGTTGAAACCCATCATTCTAAAACATCTTCGATCAATCAGTTCGGCTAGGCTTACCTGGTCCTGTGGGGCGTGAGTGGCTTCATTACATTTTCATGTGTCTGGAAATAATTATTGCATTCCGAAGTGTCCATGTTGTTTATCTGTATAATTAATATGCGAACACAAAGTTTGTCGGTTGAACTCCTCCGCCATTTCTTAACCCGGAATTTTATCCATTGATGTCTCATTGGAGAGAGGGTGTCACGTAGATTTGCAAACTGGCCTTACATTTTTGAAAAAGTCCCTCGGGCTCTGCCCCAGTGGCTTTTAAATTCCCATGTTATCCTTATGAAGAACATAATTGTTTACATTTTGATCAGCTGTATAATTTAATTGCTGTTATTTATTTTTCATTTCAACAAAACGCATTGGGTGTACAATTTACTGATTTCGTTAAAATTAAATACCTATTTAAGTTAGGTACTATTTTAATTTACATTCGTACATATTACAATGTAAAAAATCGAGAAAGCCTGGGCAATTTGATATATTTTACCGTGCCAAAAAATAAAATTGAATTGACAGGGTAGGTACTGTAATTCTTGAGCAATTGTTGAAAGAACCGATTTGTTAACCATGGAAACATAGGAAAGTAATAGAACGCCACCAAGTAGAAGAAATAGAGATTACAAAAAAATACTATTGTTATCATCCTATATAATGAAGAACACCTAACTTACAATATGAAGATTCCCACAAACAATGAACAAGGATGTTAGCCGAAGTGCTACTATTTTGTAGGAAACACGGACTTAACTTTATGATGATTGGCAAAGGAAACCCCTAGGCCGAATTAAACTGGTATGTCAAGGACATTAAATATGTTTTCATAAAAGTCAAGTGATTTTAAAATAATATGACTAACTTACATCCAAGAAACCTAGATAAAACTTTCATTGATTCACATTATTCACATTCAAAGGAAACAAGAAACCATCTGAATAACATGAGGCCTTTCAATTCTGTATTTTTTTCAGGTACCTAAATATAACTTACGTTATAACAGTAACTAGCCAAATTAATGCCAATTGTAGCAAATAAAATTGTGACAGAGAGGTTATGCAGAAAATCAGGCAGTTAGAGTAATGTAAACAAAATTTTATCGCTATAAATAAACGGTATCGGCATTCTGACACAATACTTTCTCCCATAAGTTTGTCAACAACCTTTATCATGTGTAAGCGGTGACACTAAATAGGCTAACCGGTATACGGAAATGGGATTTGTACAATTTTGTTCAGAGTTTAAAGGACTATAACATACTGAATTGTTATCAAAATCATTCGGGCCATTTTTTTAGAAAATCCATTTTTTCCGTTATTTTATGGGGTTTTATGAGAAAATCCCCGAAATTTGTAAACGTACTGGCGACAATGGGTAGTACCATGCTGACTACATTATCATTGATGAAGATCAACATGGACAACCAATGCGGCTATAAGTAAGTGGGAAACATTTGTAGAGTCCTACACTAAAAACCAGATCAGCTTTTGAAAAATGATAAAATACAAGAAATGTTTATTATATGGACCTGTTAGCCGTGTTAGCCTAGGTACTTAATTTATGAGTTGGGTCTTTTAAACTCATAGGAAATTATGACTTTTATTAGTTTTTAAGTAAGTTATTTGTTTTTAAATAGGCCCCCTAACTACTTTACTTCTTTGCAATTTACTCGATTTCGAGCAACATGTATACTAGGTAGGGCCTAGTTTAAGTTAAAGCTGTATGGACATCAGAAGGACTCTTTTTAAAGCGTTTTGGCACAGTAAGCTGTATTCTCAAAAGTCAAGGCCATACAGTACCAAGTTACAAACGTACAATTTGGTTTGCCAATTTAATGTGCCACAATTTGACAAGCCAAATGTGGCCTAGGTTTAAATTTGTCTAGATTTGATTTTGTGTAAGTATTTTAAGTTACTCGAGGTAACCTGTCTGCCCACATTGGCCACCTACACCGCTTCATGATATTTCACTAAGGGGTAGCCTAAGTTACAGTTCCGCTGAGAACCTAAGATACTTAATTTTTAACTTAGTTACTATCGGATGAAATATTAGTTTGATATTCCATATCGAATACGGTATAGTTTTCTGATGATATAAATATCGATTGTAGGTTAGTTTGTTTAACTTCGTTTAGATAGGTACAACAACGTTTAGATCAACAAACAAGGTAGGCCTAATTTAGAGCCTAACTTTTATAAACTAAAGTTTATTGAGAAGGCCTACCTAATTTGTTAGCCTATAGGCATAGCTAAGCTTAAAACAACTAACAATACATCAATTTGTGTTTGTACTAGGCTAAGTTAAGTTTTATTGTCTCTTTTCAGAAATTTCATAGGTTTTAAATTGCGCTAAGCTTACTAGGCCTAAGTAACCTAACCAAAATGCTGCATTGGCGGACTTTTAAAGAATATTTGGGTGAAGAGTTTGTTTTATTAGGTACCGGTACATATTAAGTTACCGTAGTGATAGATCTTTTCAGGGTTAATTTTCAAGAATAAGAATGAAACACAGCTGAGGACCCCCGAAGCGAAAATATTTTATACACAGAATCTGCAAGGGAGAAAAGCTACAATCGATTGTCAGGAAACAAATTTTACTTCTTTGTTTACAACCGAAACCATAGACTAAGCAACACAAGTATGATTTAGCTAAGGGAGTATGATTTATCTATGCCGAAACCAAGACAGTTCCAACCGGCTCATATAGCCTACTATATAGGCTACATCCCACCGGATGTCTCAGAATTTCAGTAAAGTCCCACATTGAAGAAACAAGGAGAGAATTAGGCCTAGGCAAATTTCAGATCTTATGGAAGGGTAAAATTATGAACAACGACCGATTATCTTGAGCAGGAGTGTCCACAAAAATGTTGCTCGACTTTTGGAAGATGGTCTGCGCACTGCAATTCCTCAATTTCTCCTGGTTGTGCGCAGTTTACCTTTGTTCGGGTGGAATTAGACACACATTACAGAGTTGGTAACTTACTATTTTAGCCAATTAAATGTTTATGGTTTGTTGTAAAGATATTTGATATAACTATTTACAAAATGTGTCTGTTAATGATATTTTAACTATTAAACCCCATTAACCACGATAGAGCAAGGCTTGGTGCCCCCGTACTATACCATATAGGCCTACATGCAGTGCCTTTACCATTTAAAAATATGTGCTAACACTCAACGTGCAAAATTACCATACGGTAACAGATCCTAAAACAGGGGCACTAAATACTGTGATGGTATGAGTAGGCCATAGGAAAGCTTCCTCACACTGTTGGCTCACTTTCTCTCAGTAGTTTCCAATGCTAAGTACTTGTGATCTATTTTGGTAGAAGGAAACAATAATGTACAATGAAAACCAACTAAGGATACAGTACAATATTAAAACTTCATTGAAAATCAAACTCACAATGTAGAACTATTGAATACCTAAAGAGTCTTTACATTTTCATAAGACACTAAGTTTAATACAGTGTTAAGGGTGTTTGGTCGTAAATTTTCATGTCTAATTTTTTGTTATTGTTCAATTGTAATAAAAATTAGAGATACAAATATATAAGAAAAAAGTTTTATTTTGAATATTAAGCGAGATATGGAGCTTGAAAGTAGTAAATTTTTCATCTTTGGTTCCAATTCA